CCATTATATTATGTGCATAGCTTGAAAAACAGGTAGGGTTCGTTAAACGTAAGCTATATTTAGATCACATAGCACATATACATAGCTCATATTAATATATATATATGCATACATACGCATTGAGCTTTCATGCTGATTTCTTGTAATCTTCTGCATTTTCATTTTATGCAAAATGTATTTATCAGAAAATTTCTGCTGAAATTTCTCAACAAATCTTAAATAAAAGAGAATTAAACTCCCGGGCGACCTTTGAAGTTTTTTAATATTAAGGCTCCATTATCAGTCAATATGTGGTTTGAGAGGCATTATTTAGCTCAGCTATTTGTTGTAAAAAGTTTTCTTTTATACTTCAACAAATTGAACTGAAAGCTAAGAAACAACATTTGTTGCTTGATTAAAACTACCATTGGTTACCATACTTTTTAATGAGTTGCCATATTATTAAAAAAAAATGTTTTTGAAATTTTGTCCCCGATTATTGACACTTCAATTCCTTATATCATTTCAAGTAGAATATAAAACTTTGATTATTCTAAAAGTTACAACACATAGGATTAAATGCTGCCAGACATGTCAAGTAGCAGAGTGCTATCGACTTGTCTGTCAAACGAAAAATATCAAAAAGAAAGGCTGTCTTAAAAGAGAATTTTTCTTTTGAAAAGTGTCAAAATGGTCGTGTAATTTTGTTTGAATCCATTTTCGCTTGGCCACACAGTGATATCCAGCCGCTTTCCTTTAACATTTTTCGAAATTGAGTGCGACCGTGTCTTTCTACATAAAAGAAAAAATAAATAAACTTGGAAATATTATTGCCACAATATCAGAAACGATTGGGCCTGCAGAAGACAGTTGGCAACTTGATTGACATTTCATAATTACCACTTTTATATTTCTTTATGCCCTTGTACAAATGTTGTACTTGAAAGTATTAATTTTTCCATATGGATTGTATTCAATATCGACTGCTGTAAATATCTATTTCAATAACCATTTTGGTATTTTTCACATCAAATTAGACGGCATTTCTGTATTTTGTATAAACGAAGCTTTTCTGGGTGTTTCCGTTTTTCTAAGCCTCCGCCTCAGGTTTTTAAAACATGAACATTCTATATGAATACACTTGAGCAGCGCTTTCAAGAAAAAGAAGTAATATGTCGGTGTGATTTGTATTTATATAATTGCAGTCCCACTGTACTAGCCTAATGTTCGCAATAAATAAAAAATAATTTTACGAACTAATTTTCGCATGTTCACGCGGGAAAACAAATTTTTGACTGTAAACGAATCTGAAAAGGCATATTTCCATTCCATATGTGAAATCACATTCCAGCTCAGTAAAAATTACAGATATGATACTTACAGACGTGCTTGACTACTACACTAATTCGCCGTTTTATTGTTAAATTTATTCCTTTAAGTTTACTGGTCCTTTTTCTGCCTTCGATGCGTCATTTCTCTGCTCGCTATCTTTGAACGCTTTTCTCTTGTCAAAAAAATTACAAATACAAAGTTATCGAATTGAATCGATATGTCAGAATATTCCTATACCTTATTAAAGTGGTATAATTGCTATCTTCAATACTACCAACCTTCCTTTCGGACATTTTAGACCAGTTTTACTATTCTGGATGGCTCAAATAACAAATGAAAATAAAAATTCCTTTATTTTTGTATTTTTAAATTATTTTTATATTTGTAGAAAACCAAAATAAAGAGTTATAGCAACGTTTTTTAACGCGAAAAAAAGAATCATAACACTATTTGGCATGCGTCATTAAACATGCTAGCGCTGGTTTGCAACGCAAGTGCTACCTATTTATTTGAGCGTCTGGTATAGTTTGTTCGATTCGCTGGAGAGTAACGCTTGGCGAATCGAAGACAGCTAATATTATCTTTTACAATATAAGCTAAATAACTTCGTTCACAGTAGTTTCGTAATAGGGTGTTATAGCGTTTTCAAAATCATGTTCATTTTATTCTCTCAGAACTTCTTTTCAATCTGAATTTTTTTAAATAAATTTCAAAGCTTAAAACTGTCAACATAAAATCCGTTTGATTGAAAAGCTAAACTTGTTCCTTAAAACTAATTAAAGTGTAAATCAAGTCATCCAATCTTACAGCTGTTACAGTTACAATATTAACTAGTTACTTTTGCTCGAAATATAAATCAAAAGCTTTCAAAACTGTCTAAAGGCTTTAGGGCGAAGATGTGAAAACAGCTCTACTTCCAAAAGAATATGGCAACTTCCCTGTTGCGCTTGAATTCCGTAGTATTATAAAATGTAAATTTTATATACCTATATGTCTGTGTTGATACCTAAATATTTGCATATAAGTACGATTTTATTAATGCACCGAAAGCATTTTTATGCAGAATACGCTATAGGCAGCGAGCGCTAAGTACCTTAATAGGAAGCTGAAGAAGATATTAGGAGCAGAGGTTAAATAAAAATTGCTTTAAAATTTTAAAAATAAATGTGTGTATATATTACATACATATTTTTTTAATATTATATATCTAACTACATATGTACCTACAAAGGTACATATATGGCGCAAACTTTCCCCTGAAATATTTAAGTTTATGCAAAATGGAAGAAAATTTTCGAAAAAGGAAACGGAAAGCGTACAACCAACGAAATCCGTACAGGAAACGGCAGCTAGTTTCGTAAAGAGCTACAAATGCGCCAGATAGTAAAGACATGATATTTCAGCTAGAAAATTTCAACAAATAATGCCAATGAAATACAAAAGGATATGAAAGTGGATAGCAGAAAGCAAAATATGTACAAAACGATAAGATAAGCGGATTTCTATTGAAATATGTCGGAAGGAAGGAAAGGGCTAAAGTTGAAGTAAAGTAGCGGGGGAAAAAAAAAGAAAAGCAGTTAATCGTTAATGGGAATTTAATAGCATCAACGCTATTGAATACTCATACAACAGCTGTGCCGTCACACATGTTTGTTCTGTATAAAAGAAAAAACAAAATAGAAATAAGCATACTTTCACCATTTATAAATAAATAATGAATAATTTAAGCAGCAAAGGTGTAATTCACTTACACCCACGATTATAAATACAAATGCACATCTATATGTTTGTACAAATTGTTGAAGCTGTCTGCAAACTTTCCGTCACTGATAACATTTCCATTTCACTCTTATGAGATTATTAGGTTTTCGGATTATTTATTATTATTATTTTGCGATTTGTTGCTTTTTTCTGCTCTCTGATATGATGGATGTGTTTCAAATGTTAGACTTTCGCTGCTACCTTAGGCCAATAGTAATAAATATTACGTTTTAGAAATGATATATGAACTTCTAGATTTATGCGCACATAGACACTTACTAATGGAAGAATTGTTAGGTCTCTTCGACTCACATGTTGGTGGTGAATTAATGTGAATGACATACGATCATCGTCAAGAAATAATAAAACAATTGCAGCAACAGCACATACGCACTCAAAATCCGGTGGCGCCTTGCCATTTGATTAATGTCTGTGACGCGCAATTTTAATAAATATGAATTATTTTGTGATATATATAATTGCTTTGCTGTCAGCGGAACGGATTGGAAGCTTTTATTAGTTTTTTTTTTGGTTTTTTTTTCTTCATGACTCATACTAATTACGCTTGTAATATGTATGTCGAAAGGAAAGTGAGCGAATTAATATTCTTTATTCGTCACAGTGAAAATTTCTTAATAAACTAATTAGAAACAAGAAAAACGGTAACTACGACTGCACCGAAGCTATAATATATTATAAAACGGTATAAAAAGATCCTTATCTTGATTTTGATTAGTCAGTTTATATGGCAGCTATATATTTTGTAGTAGTCCGATCTAAACAATATGTGTGTAGATTGTAGCATTGTTTTTCACAATAATTTTTTTTCGATTTCCTGAAGATTTTGTGTCAAATAAAAATGTTTTCCATACAACAATTTTGTTCGATAATTATAGTGCATTTTCTTAGACAAGCCGACTCAGCTCGCACCGTTGATCATTTTTATACATATGTTTATACTTTATAGGGCCTCCGACATTTCTTTCTGGCTGTTACAAACTACGTGACAGACTTAATATACCCTGTGAACGATATACAAATTTATATATATTTTAAAAATACTTATTCGAATTTGCATACAATTTCTCTTTTGATGCTACTTCTTTTTTAGTAAGCGAACTTTCGCAACTTAAAGTATTATATTTTTCGAAGATTCGACAAAAACTATCATCTGCTATACAAAATTGCATTATACTCAGTAACACTTCCAATTCAGAAGAGAACAAGTTCAGAAACAGCAAATTGCAAACGGTCAACGGTTCTGTGAATTACTTCAACCATTCAAATTCTACATTTTCACATACATAAATCGTACCCGAGGTTGAAGCAAGATCCTTTCTATGTGATTCTCTCACGTTGTCTAATTTCGCTTTAATATTACTAAAGCAATTACGTTGCTTTTTCGTAATAATTTTCTTTATGATACAATTCTTTTAATAAATTAGGAATTATTATGATTCTTTCAAATAACACTAGTTTGTAGTCATTTTGCGACTGTGATGTTAGACGCTGTTTCTCACTTATTTTGGATTGCTAAAATCGTATAGGATATTAAAAATGTCCTAACACGTAGAATTTTTTGTGTTGTAGTCAAGGAGTGTAGGGCTCAAACCACCACCCTTTACTAAAATGACAAAAATGTACGTGATGGAAAATTTTTTAACTCAAATGCGTAATCAGGACACCTCAAATACACCCACTGAACTTTAAGCACATCAGTCGCACTTTCCTTCAGATTTGTTGAGTAGTATTATTAGATGAAAATTAGTCATATTTCGAAATCTCGATTGGAATGCCTGTCACCGCTTTGCTTACAGTTGCTAAGCACAAATTTGACACTTCAGTTGAATTTTTTAGAGAGTTTTCTTTCGAGGTAGTAAAGAATTGATCTCAAATATTTATCCAAAAGTTGAGCGCTGTTTTTTAAATTCTTCAATTTTATTGAAAACTCTGGGAATTCAAGGTCGGCGGTTTGTTTTAAAAATTACAACAGTGTAAACAATTTGTCTGTTCATAAAATATTTAATCATTTAATTTTTCAATACTTTTGCATTGCTGTGTAATTGTTTTTGTTTCTTGTTTTCAAATTTTGATTATCAAATCGTATTATACAAAATTCGGCGACCATATTTGTCACTTCTTTCTAAAAGTCCTTAATTGACCATTCTTTGCTAGTTTTTTCATGTCTTGATCTTTTGAACTGTCAGCTCGTGTTTCGAAATCGTGACATATTTCTCCTCTCTTTCTATCAGCAACTGTTAGCCAATGCAGTTGAATCAAATTTTTACATTCTGCTACCAAAAATGTTACGTATTTCATTTACATTTAACGCCATTTTCTAACCAATACAAAAGCAAAATCGGAATTACAAACAAGTCGAAATATAAGCAGTTTTTTTCTGTTTTTTTATTTTCATAGAATTTTCAATTTAATTTTTATTTTACTTCTTTTTATTTTTGCTTTTTGTACATAGTGTAGTGTAAGTAGTTTTCTTCCTATATACTTGTATACATACATATGTATATTCAATAGCGACAACCGCTTTGCTCTTGCTACCTCTCAATTCGCAAATACTTCAGTTTGTATTTGATTTCTCTTCAGTTGCTTAATAAATTCTCAAATTAAATTTTTGCTTTGGCTTTGATTTCGAAATCGCAAAATTCTGTAAAAACCCCCTATGGGGACTAATTTAATTTTCGTTTCTGCATTTCTTACAGAACACGCATGCTTACAAAATTTATTTATACGAAATAAAAATTAAAAACAAAAAATCCAAATAAACATAAATATAAATCAATAAACTGTTGAAACTAAAAGACATTTCTAATGGGGAACATGTGATGCAAATCAAATAAAATGCAAAACTCTAAATAAACCAAACTAAAAAAATGTTTTAAACAACAAAAAGTCTTAACAAAGTAGCGCACAAATCCAATATCAATTACTAAACTAAATCCAAAAAAACAACAAACACATACAATAAGTATAATAAGTTGTAGAAAACATGTACATTTGTACGGTGATAAAAATGTTTATACTCGTTAAATTAACCAAATAACACACATTCCCAAAGATTTGAAAACGTAAGACGAGAACAAATCCTCTGAAGGACAATTGTAACAGTAAAGTGTGCCAAAATCGATTTATACCCAGTACTCGCTTCTCGGTTTGTGTAGATATTCATTCGTATTCATGAATGCCGTACATTTGGAACCAATAGTGCTCCTTTCAATTGTTGTATTATTAGGCGTAGTTATTGTTGTTATTGATTAATATACATAAGTATATACACTTATTTAAGATAACCCAAAAAAGAAACAAGAAAACCAAACCGAAAAGCAAATTTATACATTCACATACAAAACACACATTCGTACACGTTAAGATTAGCGCCCAATAATAAGAAATCGCAAACGCCTAACTGAGCGAGAGAGATTGCGACGACGTCATCGAGGACAAACACAAAGCCGGGCTGACAGCACGGGCAAGCGGAAGCTGACTTCAACCGTAAAAAGTGGGTTGATTGGTGTGCGAAATTGAGTGTTAAATGTGAAAGCTCCTTTCTTGCTGGCTGTCGTCCTGTGATACGCGACCAACCGCGTACATATATATATCATATAAGGCGAAAGAAAAACAGCTGAACTAAAAGAAAAGCAAGTCATACTAAAGGAGGATTACGCTAATCCATTGGTGATGATGTTGACGTGTACAACGCCTATACGGAGCAACAGTGTAACCGCCCTCGAGCAGCAGCCATCCTTTCTGGGGCAAAAACAATACAAACAGGAACAGCAACAGAAACAGAAACAGCATCAGCGCCGTCAGCTGCAGCAACAGTTTACGTCGCCGCAATAGCAACAGCAGTTCGATCAGCTAAGAGTTTTTCAGTGCCAAGTGGGAAGGTGGCCGCAATCGTTTAGCAGTTTGTAGAATTGACAGCTGATAGGTCGTTGACAAGGCCAACTTACGAGGGTCAGCGGTGCTTACGAACAACGAACCAAGTGCAGCTGGTTCTCGCTGGCCTCGGTCGCAAAGCACACACCACAGAGTAAACACAGTGGAATTGGCTGTGACAGCTGAAAGTGTGCAACAACGACGTGACGTGACGTCGTTATAAGGACGTGTATGCTGCGCGCGTACGAACAAATTTCGCCGTTAGGAACTAAATAAACATTTACTCAAGGCAATCATCTCCACCGCCACCGCACAGACTACAATGCTCTGGTAGCCAAGATAGTTTTGCCGTGGATCACTATTGCGGCAGCAGCGGTGATACGCCACACGCAGTGAATAGTGTACTTGGAGTTGGGGCGGCTGGAATTAGTGGCTCAAGCAGCGGTGTTAGCGGCGGAGTCGGCGGTGTTTGCAGTCAATGCTCATCAACGGCGGCAGCGGCGTCGGCAGCAGCTGCGGCTGTAGCTGCAGCGGGGACAACATCGTGCGGTGGCGGTGGCAGCGGCGTTGGCGGCAACAACCACAACAACAGCGGAGTTGGTATCAGCGGCGCGAGCACAATTGGCGTGTGTTATTGCAACAGCACGATGTGTCATCATGGATCCGGTGGCATGCCGATGGGCATACCACCACCACCACAACCGCCACAAGCGATGATGTCCGGTGGCGGCGGCGTCGGTGGCATCGGCGATATGCGCAATCCACTGCACAGCAGCAGCAGCTTACTGGGCTCACACATGTCGCTTGGCGGAATGAGCATAGGCGGCGGTGGCGGCGGCGGCGGCGGTGTTGGTCTCTACGGTTGTGATACGATCATCTCAGGTCCCAGTCATTGTCGCAGTCTAAGCGGTTTGAGTAGTCTGAGTATCGGACCGCCAGCACCACCAGTGCCGCCTCCACCCCTCTTCAATCCTTGTAGTTCAAATAGTTTTAATTCGATACAATCGATGCAGGGGCCAAGCTCCTCACGCTGGGGACCGCGTACATCATGCCCGATACACAGTCCATTTCGAGTGCGGGCGCCCAACGGTTCAATATGCTCTGGACATCAGGTAATTTCAAACTAAATGGTTGTTGTACTCCTAGTTAAGCAATACATATACTCGTTTTTATATACTACGAGGTATACTCAAAACTTTATGCTCCTATACAATTCACACAACCAACCTCACGCGGACGTGTCTGTGTGTGTATGTGCGTGCTTTTGATTACTGTAAGTGAAATTGTTTGATATTTGAGTAAAATGGCGGTTACAACTGCGAAACCGAACTTGGCCTGGCCTGGCGTCTATGCTACGTGAGTGTTTGGGTGTTTTTGTGTGTGATTTATGTGAAAGGCTGCCTGTCTCGGTATGAATTTACCGCAAAAACACACGTCTACACATACAAACATACTATGTATTAATATATAATATTTGCTATACACGTGCACGCATGTACTTAGTTACATACAAACGTTTGTGATGTTTCTGACATTTCTCAAATGTGTAAATATGTTAAATTAAACACTTGTGTTGCATTCGGTTGAGTTTGTTTAGTAGTCAAATATAGGAAAGCAAATACTGAAACAAAGTAACCAATATGTAGCCAAATATGTCTGCTTCTACTACTTTTTTGTTCATATGTGAGAAAAGCTGATTCTTGCCATCACCTTTTAATCACTTAGCATAAACCAAATGTGTTGTATCAAATGCCATAGTGTACCACGTACCAAACATAATCTAACGCCGCCCACATGTCACATGCGACGTGTATGCGGGCTGTGGTCGGAAGTACATTGAAGTAAATATATATGCCAATATGTTTATATGTATGTATATATAAGCGATTATTAGGGATGTGTCGAGAAATGTTTATACATTATTAAGGTGAGTTATATTTTTCTAAGATTCAACTTAAGAAATCAAAAATTTTACGTTAATACCTTCCAAAGTTTTAGCACACTTTTGATTATGAAATTTTTCCATTTGAAATGTGCTGTGAATGAGTTTACGGATTGTGTCTTTTAATTTTAAAATCGTTTAATTTTTGCTTAAATTTTGATGTTTATACTCTGAACAGAGTATTTATTAAGTATTCTACAGAATTTGTAACACCCTGAAGGAGACGTCGAAGACCATATAAAGTAAATACAAATAAAGTCTATCAATATATACGTGAACTTTTGAGATACCGATCTGAAATTTTGGCCACGTCCTTTTCCTCCAAAGAAGCTGCTTATTTGTCGAAATCATCGGTATATGTCCACAAATGCACCTGGAGAGATTCGGTACAGCCGAATTTAGCGTTTTTTGTCGTTGTTTGTTTTCGAAATCTCATCACGTTTTCATTTCAATTCATTGGATGACGCTAAATAAAATCGATTTCCTCCAAGTTTCCTTTAAGCTTCAACAGTAGACCCTTTCCTAAATCGTATAACATTACCTATTGGATAATGATAATAATTGATTTTATGAAATTCGCAGCCTCTCTTGGAGCGACTCCTGCTTATTGCAAGAGTCATCTAACTACAGAAAATCCATTAAGTAATATTCTAACTGTGAATTGGTACTTACTTTAACGTTGAAAATCGAAGAAAATATATGATTTTTTAATTTTTCAAGTCGAAATTGATCGAATCGGATATCCTGTATATATCTATCTCTTCCGTCAAAACTATTTACCGTTGACAACCATATTTCAAAATTTAAGTCAAATTAACTTGTTCTAGGTCTTGATCGTGATAGGAGTCAGCCCAACTTCGTTTGTAAAGTAAAATTAGTGCTCTTTTGTTAATACCAAGTGTTAAGAATGGGTTTTTCTACTACGCTACGTATTTGCGACCAGGAAAGAAATTATATGACCGATGTAAACTGAATTTGACGTTATTATTTTCGACGAAGTTTTCAATGTTTTTCCTTACCAATTAGAAACGAAAACTCCGAAAGAAAAAGAAATAATAATTCAATATCTAAATATCTACCCGCTTGACTTGAAAAACCTTTAATATAGGCTAAAAAAAAATACACACACCTTCGATACATCCCTAAATAATTCACTGTCAGTATACAGAGCTTATTAAATTCTGCGCAGTGGAAGCTTTTTTATGCAAATACACATACACAGCATACATTTAGGCGCATAAATCCTTTTGTGTTGACATGTAGTTATGCATATGTGTATGAATTGCAAATTGGTACGTGGTATTCGTGCCCTTCTTGTGCGAAAATAGTTTATATGATGTTTACACACTTTATTTTGATGCCTTTATATCCGACTATTTTAACATGTGCTTTTCTTTGTCTCCTTTCTTTCATTTCTTTCAGGTAAGCAAATAAAACGTAAATCCACGCTCATCACCGCATTGCTTGCTATAGTATCAACCGAATTCTAAAGTAACCTAGCAGCGCCGGGAAAGCTTAAAATGTGTCAACGACATGTAAGATTATTTTCGCTCTAGAATGAACTGCTCATCCAAACTAACCGCAAAAAATGTCCCATAGCTTCATATACTATATAGTGTAATTGGTTGGTGTCAAAAGACCTCTCACATTCGTGTATGTGTACATATGTACGTATATATTGTATAAAGGCATTTATATACACATAGTCGGTATTTATATCTGCATTTAAGCATGTATGGAAATATGCGTCATACGTGGTTACAATTGCTCATTGCGGGTCATTTTCATATCCAACAACAACAATAACAGCACTAGAACCACGTAATGCCCGACGTTAAGTAATCGCATCGACAAAGGACATCGACAGAGCAACCGAACGGTCACATTTGTAGCCATCAATGCCACATAGCCGTATTGTGCATGTAAATGTGTGTGTGTGTGTGTGTGTAGCGGGTAGCGGTAAGTGCGCGTGTATTGTGCCACTGAATTATAAAGACTTGAATTCACATGATTGCCTGTCATCATTGCAGATAATTGTATGGAACTATTTGTTTGTACACATACATGTATATAAACAAGTGTGTGTATTAAAGCATATGCTTTCAATCCTACATATAGAAATATGGGCATACCGGCGCAAATAGTTTGAAAAGCATGTGCACGAATTTTCAAAGTTTATATCTGAGAGGTCGTGGCAGCAGCCGGTTTCATCGACAGGACCGCAGGTTTGACCGTCATTACAGCAATGCCTTTCCTAATAGTAATCGTATATATATTGTATATGTAGTCAGAGATTTATATAAACGCTTCCATACATGCACTTACGTGAGCGAGTTTGGGTCTTCACATAGTTGACCAACTAAATACAATATATGATTTACTACTGTCAACTCCTAAGTCATTCTCAAGTCAAAAGGACACACTATTAACGGCTAAAAATATACGTATGTATGGGCTTTGTGTCTAAATGACCTTAACGCTGGCATTATCGTTCATCATTGTGACATTCGACCGCAAATTGAATGTAACTAATGCAATTAGTTACAATTTTTCCGCTTGATTGTTTTACTCGAGAACTTTTGGTATGACTTGTAATGGATTTCCACGAATGTGTTATGCGGTGGCTCATTGAGAACTGTAGGTGAAGTTTCTTGCTCATTAACAAACCTTATTAAATTTATCAGAGATAATTGTTGACAAGTTTTGCAGCTAAATTTGCAGCTAACATTTTTGTTATACGAGGACTAACCAAGCACTTTTCGAGTTTATGGAGTCATAAATTAATTTTAATAGCAAAACTTTTGAAATTGTAAATGCTGATGCATTGCTGTAAGATAAAATATATCCATAATAGTATTCACTCCAACTAAAACAAAGATCGTGCATTTAACTAAACTTCTTGTTTCGCCATGTCGTACTTTTTTGCCAGCTTAAAATGGTGTAATAGTGCAGTAGCCATGAGCTATTGGCGAACAAATATACATTATTATGAAATAACGACTATAGGATGGACTTTCTTGCATTCGATATACTGTTCAAGGTTTCAATTACCTGCTGAGAGAAATCCTTTATTTCCCCATCAATGGGTTTTACATAAAAGGTACTGTTCCGATTTTTGTACGGTGTAGAACTGTTAAGTTATTATTGTCCAGTGAATAAGGTAAATTAGACCCTATAAAGTCTTTATACACAATACATTAGTGCTCTTCAAATTAATCGAATAACCCGATTTTTCGAATACCCGGTTTGTAACCGTTCGAATATTATCCGAATTGTGATCGCAATATTACGATTATTCGGATAATTGCCCTGCTGCTAGTATTTGAATAAATGAAAATTGTTTGGAATCCGAGCATCCCTCAGTTTATGAGATATCGATATAAAATTTTACTCACGCCCTTTTCACCCCAAAAAGCTGCTTATTTATCAGAAAACTGACCGATCAAAATCAAGTTCTTGTATGGAAACATTTTTTATTCGACAAAATATCTTCATGCAATGTGGCATGTATTATTGTAACGGGTGTTTTTTTTTAAAAGTGTAGAACTTTAAATTGCAATAAAACAGCGATGGATTATTCGATTGACATGCATGTTATTTATCCGAAAGATAATCTTGTGGCATAACATTTTAAATATGATTTCTGGCATATGACCGCCACGGCTGGCTCGGATGTAGTCCAATCTGGACGTCCAATTTTCGATGACTTTTTCCAACATTTGTGGCCGTATATTGACAATAACACGGCGAATTTTGTCTTCCAAATGGTTAAGCGTTTGTGGCAGTTTTGTTTGTTGACGTAGAACCATTATTTTCAAAATAAAATTGCATTATTTGCAAGCGTTGTTCAGGCGTGAGTCTATTCATGATGAATTGCCAAACCAAACTGAGAGAAAATCACTTGACAGCTGGTAAATCGGTCGCCATCTTGAACAGTAATGCCAACTTAAAGTTCTACACCTCGAAAAAAAAAAAAAAACTTCCGATACAAGGCATCTGCATACATGTTCATTTTGAGCCATTATCATATATTTGTATCCAATTTATGCTGTAAAAAATGCATCTTTGAAGGGTATTATAGTTCGGTGCAACCGCAGTTAACGTTTTTTCTTGATTTTTTTGTATGACTACTGAAAATTTATATTTTGTTTTGTACTTTACTGAAGCTAC